CCCCCTAGTCTGTGTCCTTAAGAATGGAAATTTTTTAGAGCTCTTGAGACCTATTTCCCAAATAATAAAAACTAAGTCCCTCTAGTAAAGGGAAACTAAACTTTGTCTTGGGTCTAAGGTCCAAGGGCCAGACGTCAAATATTACAGAAAGAGCACAACTGCAGCAACTTTGGGGTATTTCTCTGTGGCCTCCTCACAACTATTTCTAAGAACCCAAAAGTTATCCCTGATTTTAATACTGGGTGCTAGCTACTTAAATATACATTATTTTAACTCTCAGAATCACCTTCTGAGCTAGGTATTAGCCTAACATTACACATGTAAGAAGTAAAGTTGGGAGGTTTAAGTATCATGCTAACCCACACAGCTCTGGATTGCAGTCAAGATTAAAATCCAGGACTTACCCTTTACAGTGCTTTGTATGCCAAGGAAAAGAGCTAGAATCTGTGGGATCACCAAGATCTTGCTCTCTGGCTCAAATGTCTCCCTCACCAGAACAGCCAAGAAGTTGCTTGATGATTCTTTCTTAGCAGTGATTATTCCTAATGCAGGCAGCATGTATACAAACAAAAGCTAAGTCCTCAGTCCTCAACAATTTACTTTTATTGATTTTGTTAAGAACTAGAATGGGAACCTGGGAGCTCTGGCAGAGTAGTGTCTAAGGCACTTGACTGCTAACCAGAAAGCTGGCGGTTCAAACCCACTAGCCAATCCTCGGAAGGAAGGTTGGGCAATCTACTTCCGTAGTGATACCGCCTCGGAAACCCAAAGAAGGGTCGCTATGAGTCGGATCTGACTCCATGGCATATTAACAGGATGGGAACCTAAGTATAAGACCTGTGCAATTAAATGTGGAGTCTGAGCCCTGATAAGCAGAAGTAGCAAACAAAGGTTTTTTGGAGCCTTCAAATCCTAAAAAGCCTAACGAAAACCAACCAACCCTGACTCTAAGTACTTTTGAAAACTATGGGGCAGTTCTGCACTGGCCAACAGGGTTACTGAGTCAAAATGACTTCATGGCAATGGGTTTGGGCTTTCTGTGGCTGCTTGGCAGAAGACAGTTATCTCCATCGTTCAAGAGAAGTGCACCTTTACCAGCGAAGTAAATTTTTTGGTTACACAGAAGTATCTTGTTGATAGCTATTTGGTGTATGCTTACTAAACTATTTCTAATAGGTTCTTTGCACTGAACAGATTACTTTATGGAAAGAAAAGTGAATTCTGAAACCCACAGGCAAAATTAATTCCTAAATCTAGGCTACTAACAACTCTTATGGTATTTAATTCTTATGTAACCTAAAAAACACATTTCAGTGAGTTAAGTACCTACAGTCTTTGCATGGCTGTGCCCCTTGTCTCATCTCAGGCTCTTGTTATCATAAGGAAATCAGAACCTGCTCACTTTTGACCAAACCCCCAAAACCAAGGCCACTGCCATCAAGTCAATTCTGACTCACAGCGACCATACAGGATAGTGTAGAACTGCTCCCAGGGTTTCCAAGGCTATAAATCTTTACAGAACCAGACTGCCTCGTCGTCTTCCCATGGAGCAGCTGGTAGGTTCCAACTGCTGACTTACTGGTTAGCAGCCAAATGCTTTCATCACTGCACCACCACAGCTGCTTACTTTTCTGACCAGAGGAGCTATATACACAGCTCTGCTCCCTCCCTCCAGTTTCCTGAGTATCTCCAGAACTCGGACCATAAAAAGTCTATTGCTCTTCAACCCAACACTTCTCCTGTGTGTCTAGTAACAGTTCTCTAAGCTGGTGTGGGAAGAAGCAGCTGAGTGTGTGTAAAGAATGAACAGAGGAGTACAGGTGGCACACCCCATCTCCGAAGTCTGATGAATCTACTGGGCTTTCTAGGTAGAAAAATGTTCAGGGGATGAGATAAGGAATATCTCAAGGTGTTTGGTAAATAAATGCAAACCAGTGAAAATATCAATAAAATATTTTTAATGCCTACAATTTCTTGTATACATAAATTGCAAAACTTTCACCTGTGTATGCAAAAGTAGACTCTCTTGCAGGTCAACAGCACCAGAATACAAGCTAAGCTATGTACAGGTGTTTTTTTTAACTTGATTTGTCCATTATGTAAAAGACATGATGGATTTAATAACTCCAAAGCAATCTATATTCCATTCTTAATCATACACTAAATACCTGAATATTTATTTCATCATATCCACTCACAAAATAAATAGTAGTCTAATACATTCGGCACACTGAAAATAAAGCCACCAGACTCTCTTCATATATTTATTCTCTTTCCAAACATGTTTTGGTCTTCTGCTGTATCTCAGTACCAACAGCTGCTTTTAAGTTAGAAAATGCAAAATAATATTTCTTAGACAATATCTTGGGGGCTACGTTAAAAAACGAATTCTGACTTCCCATAGACTTTCTTTTATGTTGTTTACAGTCTTTGAATCTTTTCAAGCCACATATGTAAGGCTGCCTGTGACATATGTCTCCTGGCCTCCAAATGGACCTAAATGCATTTATAATTTAGAGAAAATGCAAAGGCAAGTTCTGAAAGTAGCCTTAAAAGAAAGTGCCCCTGCTTTGACAGAGCAACATCAAAAGCAAGTGGAACTGTGCAATAAGAGCCATACGAGTTTTATGAAAACTACTTTCCTTTCACATCATTTGTTAGAGAATGCTGCACCCATGATCATGTAACATTACAGTCATGAAAAAACATTACTACATTCGTGATTTAACATTACCCAATAAAAGGCACATCTTTAAATACTGGATTAAGAAACTCTGAAAATCAAAAACAGTAGACATTAAAAATCAAGCAGTTAATTTGTAAACCTTAATAAAATAACAGACTATTCCAGTTTCTTCAAAGGCTTACGAGCTTTTTGTAGGAGTGGTCAGAAAATGCAGAACGAGAGAGAAGATAAGATTTGGTAACAAGGCCAAGATTATTTAAAAGGCTTGCTCAGGACTTTGCTGTTTTTGTTTTGGTTTGTTTTTAGTTATGGGAGTACCCTTTTATAATGCTGATTCAGAAGAATATTAAGATCAACATCTGTGTTATACAAGAAGTGCACTCAGAAGTGATAGACATAAAAGGACACAACCTGACTCTTCCCATCGAGTTCTGGAACTTTAATATTAATATAGCACACAATGGTGCCTTTCTGTACAAATCAACTGCATGGCATTATTGATTAAAGTGCTAGTAAATTTTAAGCCACCACAGATCTTTCAGCTATAACAACCACTTGATTGTAATTACAGATTCCAGAAAGTCTGAATATGAAAAGATATATACAAGAAACAAAAACTTTTGAAGGGCGAAATAAAGTACATAAATCACAGCAAAGGAAATAATGTCCCAACCCTCTTATTTTTAGTACATGGAACGGCGTCTTTTAAATCAATTTCATTTCAGATATTCAAGATGGATGACAAGCAGCCACTACAATTTTCTGCCACCAGTGTCACAGTTCCAAGTGGAGAGTTAGAAAGGGTGCTATTCCTAGTGATGACATTTCAAGGGATTCAACTTCAAAACTAAATCCTTGTACTTTCAAAAATTTGAACTCAATTCAAAATAGAGTTTGAAAGGACTGAGTTACATGGTCCCATCAAGAGAGGCTAACAACAGTAATCTGTAATATGCAAACTTGAAAAATAAAGGCTTCGTAGGACAACCCCTTCTACTTCCTAATCCCCAGCTTCCAATGGCTTAAGATACCCACACAGAGTTTATTATAGAACTATTCTACAAACTTACTTTTAGTCAAAAACAAATGCTCTCTAGCATATTATCTCATTTACTTTTGCAAACGTTTCTTAAGATCAGGTCAGGCTGATTGGAATTGCTTGGACTTGAGACTCAAGAGATACCAAGCCTATAGATAGGACTTAAAGAAAGGTGAGAATAAAGAACCACATTCATGTGGAACATTCCTTAATCTTTTATCTACCCAGGAAAATGTCTTCACAGTGCATAGTTTGAAATAAAAGTGCAATATGGGCAAAAAAGAGAAGGTGGTCATCTTGAGTCTCACAAATTTAGTTTTTGGTTTTTTGCCATTTTTGCTATGGAATTTAAGATAAAAATGCAAAGTCATTAACATCAAGAGGTATAAGGGCACCCTGGGATTCCAAAATATCTTTATGATGGGGATAAAAGGGGTAGGGGACGGGAACCTCAGATGTAGTTTTACTCTTTTAAAAACTATTACTCTTCCAAATCTAATGTCTGAATATAATATTTTCTTCAATATAAAAATGAATTTTTTAGAGAAAAATCAATCAGCACTGTGACCTTGTCTATCTTACACAGCCAACACAGTAACAGTAAATCTGAAAGGAAAACTTAGAAAAATTGTTAATTGCTTAATCACCTATATTCGTGATTAAGACTGTTCCACATCAAATCCATGAATAATGCAGAATACAATATAATTTATTCTGTTTCTTACTTCAAAGTCACAGGGATAATATCCATATGATAATTTTAAAGTCTACATTTTCAAGTTCTGAATCCAAACATAGATTAGGACAGGTCACTTTATTGCTGGCAACATTCATGGAAGGGCCAGGTGCCATATAAAAAGTAAGTTGAACTGGGAGTTGGGCAGGGCCCGACTCACACATTAGAAGAATTATACAAGTCAAACGCAATTCTTTTCCTTTTAAAGTAGCAAAGGAACAACAGAAGATTGGCTGACTGGTGAGCGCCCCCACATTAGAGTGCATAGCTCATCAGGATCAAGGCTGGCATCTGTGAACAGTTAACTTCATAAGAGCATTCAGTGAATATTATCTCATCTACATTACAGATTTCACCCTGGAAAGATTTTTCCATATTCTTTGCTCAAATGACAGCCTGCAAACGACAGTATGCATTCCTTCTCCTTAAATACCCAAGTATAAATCTAAAATGATTAAAGGGGCTTCTTCAGCCTGAAGGCAGGAATTCCTTGCAGCAGAGTATCTACAGAATATCACAAAAATAGGTAAAAGTAGCAGCTAACGCCTCTTCAGCTTCTTGGCCTTTTGACGTCTCATTTCTTCTTCTTCACGTCTCATTTCTTCTAAGTCCTCCTGCATACCTAGTCTTAAGCTATTAAAAAAACAAAAAAAGACAATAGTCAATACATATGAGACTGCCACTTTCTTTTAAAAGAAGGAATAAAGGGAATTCTGGCAAGATGGCAGCATAAACTATCATTCTGATCCTCCCCAACAAATATGAAGAAATGGTGCTTGGCCTTGAGGGACTCTGAAGTAGGGAGCTGAGGAAAGCACAGGGAATTTAAGACAAACACAAACAAGTTGCAGACAGTAGGAAAATTGCTTCTCCTACTGTCCCTGCCTCTCCCTTCAAACAATAGGCCACTGCCTGCTGTGAACTGGGGAAGTTGTCCTGAAAAAAGAGTCTATTTTCCTTACCACCACATCCCCTTGCCTGTACTAAGAGTCTGGACCTCAAGCTTCTGCTCTAAAATCAACAAGGCAAACTTACCTGGAGTCTATTTGGAGTATGCCAGTACTTTCCCTACCTGCACACTGTCTACTGTGTCTTGCTAAAATGGACACCCTGCAAAGGAGTTACTCTACAGTCAACACTCTACCTGCTGACCTGTGCACCTCAAGCTCTCGCTACTGAAACCAACAGGACAAACTTCCCCTGGGGTTGGTGAGGGTTCTCTGCCCCGCTTCCAGTTGGCACTGAGGACAGCTGACTGAGGCTGCTGTGTGTTAGGAAGCACAAGTCTCAAGTGTAGCCTGCACTCACTGATAACAAGACAGATCTCCACTCAGATCTGACTAGAACATGACAACCCCTCCCCACCTGGGAATTGTTGGTTGTCAGGCTGTTGCAAACTGCTAGAGATGGCCCCGTAGTGGAGTCTGCTCCCATAGTCAACACTGTATCTGCCTCCCTAGGCACCTCATAACTCAGCTGAAACTGACAGGATAGATCTTCCTGGGGATCAGTTTGGGTCTGTCAACTGCCTTTTACACTCAGCACTGAGGACTGCTGACTGAGGCTGCTGGGTGCTAGGAAGCAGGCATCTCAAGCAGAAGCTATACCCACAGCCATCATAGTACAGGGTGGGCTCTGATAGCAACAAGGCAGACCTCCCTGGGGGTCCAACTGGAATGTGACCACCTCTCCCCCAACTGTCAGACACTGGACTGACAAACTCCTACAGAAAGTTCCCTAGAGTGGAGCCACAAGGAGGATCACCTAAGTGGAGACAGCTCCCCCAACTACCAGAGGGTTACTGGGACTCTGAAACCAACAAGACATTTTCCAGAGGTGCTTCTGGGTAGTGCCAGCCCCTCCTCCTCCTGAAACAGAGGAAAGTCTGCCTGTGCTTCCCTTGAATGTCCACTCAGATATAAACAGCCCCACAGAGCAGGAAAGGAAACCTCAGGCAAAATTAAAGGGTAACACCCAGCCCCAAAGGGGGTTTGCTAACTAAAACATGACTGCATAAACAGAAAGGAAGGGAGTAATAATTATAGAGAGGGGACTATACCCCCTGGTAGGACAGATTGATTGGTGTACAATATCTCGTGCGTGAGTAATGTTGCCCACTGGTGGACACACTGATTACAGTGGAAGAGATGCAAAGACTCTTGAATCCTAATTCAACCAGGGAAGGAGAAGGAACTATCACAGAGAGGGAGAGCAAATGGTAAGCAAAGGCCAAAGCCTCTGCCCATCTAAGAGTTAGTTGAAGAAGGTAGTGCAGGCACTGCTGGTAGGACTGTAGAATGACACACCACTGTGGAAATTGGTATGGCAGTTCCTTAAAAAGTTGGAAATAGAAATACCACTTGATCCAGCAATCCCAATACTAGGTATATATCCTAAAGAAGTGAGAGACAGGGCACAGACAGATACATGCACACCCATGTACATCACAGCACTATTCACAATAGCAAAGAGGTGGAAACAACCTAAGTGCCCATCAACCAAGTATTAGTTCATTATTGTAAAAAGTCAAGGAAGGGCTTATATATGGAAGGGAACTTTTGTTGATTACCAGGGGTGGAAGGGGAGGGAAGGGAACACTGTTAGATAGGTAGAGACAAGATCTGGATGAAGAGAAGGGCAATATACCAAATGTGAGTGGTGGCACTAAGGAAGACAGAGAGAGGAACATGGGAGGTACAGACAACAAAGATGAACCCTTCTGCATGTACAGTACCGTGTTGTCAGTGATGGCAAGCGCTGATCTACAGGTGGATAGATGGGTGGACAGGTTGAATGATCAGGTATGTTTAGTTAGGGAGTAGTATACCAATGACCATGCACAAGTTGGCAGATGATGTTTCTACATGTGTAATTGTATGTGCTGTAAGAATGTCTAGCTGTATAGTAGAGTTGACAAGGGGCAAGGTTGTGGTGGCTTCTTGGCCACAACCAGCTACCCAGAGGGAGTGAGCAGTTGGACCTGTGGCAGAACCATGGTCACAGGGGACATAAAGCTTAATTGGCATAACATACTATATACAAACACTGTTCTACATCCTACTTTGGTGAGTAACAATTGGGATCTTAAAAGCTTGCAAGCAGCCATGTAGATGCAACACAGGGTCTCTTCTCATCCAGAACAAAGAAGAATGAAGAAAATCAAAGATGCATGATAACAATTAATCCAAGGGACTGGCAGACCATGTGATCCTCAGCCTATATGACCATGAGACCAGAAAAACTAGATGGTGTCCAGCTACCACTGTCAACCATTCAGAGACGAATTGGTGCAGGAAATCCTGGATAGAGTGGGAGAATAATGTGGAACAAAACTCAGAATCATAAAAAAAAAAAAAATTCATGTTTGCTAATCTGACAGAGCATGGTAAAACCCCTGAGACTATGGGCCCTAGCTACCCTTCATGTCTGCACTGAACTCACTCTTGTGGCTTCCAGCCAAATAAAAGACCAGCACATGCGCTGAATATTTACATCAGGTAGATACACTCCTTACAGTGATCAAAGCTATACATAAAAAGAAAGATCTCTAAATAAAAGGAAATGCACGGACAAGTATAAGGGCTAGTAATAAGGTATTCATGCTTAGTAACTCTAAATGTTTTATGCTTTATGATTTTTAATAACAAATATATCAAAGGCAAGGATAAATTGTTACAGGGCAAATGAAATATAAAAACATGTAACAACAGGGGACTTCCAGTTAGATGGAGGAATAGGCAGACAAGTGACACAGACCCTCTTCGACAAAGAAAAGAAAAACCAATTGACAGAGATACAGAAGATGACCCTGGAGCCCTGAGCTTTGAAAGGAACTATGCAGAAGTGGATTAGGCACCAACTAGTGGAAAAATTGAACGAAAACAGTGAGTACAGAGACGATCAGAGCAGCAGACTGTCAGCTACTCTGATGGGACTAACAGCCTGAATATTTCCAAGTGGTGTTGGGACCTGAGAATTCATCTAAAAATCAGCCCTGGTCACCAAGGGCTGCTCGGACAACTGTGCTGGTGGGCTATGACTAGAAAGGGAAACAGCAAGGAGGGAGACAACTTGAGCTGTTGACTTTCCGCTGTCCAGAGGGAGCAAGCATTTGATTGTTCACATGCGGCAGCCATTCTGGATATTTAAAGTGACAGAGGGTGCAGTCATTTTGAATGTTTACAAGTGGCAACCATTTTGGATTTTAAAGTGCTAGCATTCTCATTCAGATTCCAGGGACCTAAGAATAGGCTCCATTTGCCAAGGTTGGCAGGAACATATCTGAGGCTGACCAACAGGAAGGGAGACAGGTAGTGAGTGTATAAATGCCGTCAACTAGGAAATAGAGAAGCACGGTACCCTGATTGCGTAGGTAACATACAAACAAAGCAAAGAAAACAAAAATGTGGGCAAGTCACTCCAACATACAATCACCAATTAAATATAAACACAAAAATGTCATAATGCCTCGGAGACAACAAAGCATCACACAAAGAAGCAAGATAAATTTAGCAGGAGAAACAAGGGACCAGGATACAGACCCAAAATACATCCCTGAGGAAGATGCAGCATTGGAACTCTTTAATAAGGAATTCCAAAAAATTATATTTAGGTATCTACAATGAATTGAGAAACAGATCAAGGAAAACACAGAGAAAGCCCTAGAACAATTTCAAAAGACAATGCACGAACAAAATAACAAAATAAATGAAAAATTAGAAATGATACAAAATGTACACACAGAAATCCAGAAGATTAATACTAAATTTTCAGAAATAGGTAAGGCATTGAATGGGCAAAGGAGCAGAACTGAATCAATGGAAGACAGAATTAGGGAGATTGAAGGCAAATACCTGAACACTTCTTTGGAAAAGGATGAATCAGAAAAAAAATCAAAACAAAATGAAGAAACTCTAAGGTTCATGTGGAATACCATCGAAAGGAATAACCTACGTGTAATCGGAATTCCAGAACAAGAAGAGGCAAATAAAACCACAGAGAAAATTGTCGAAGATTTGTTGGAAGAGAATTTTCCTGGTATGATGAAAGATGAGAATATATCCATTCAGGAAGTCCAGTGAACCCCAAACAGGATAGACCCCAAGAGAAAATCACCCAGACATATCATCATCAAACTTACCAAAACCAAAGACAAAGAAAGAATCATGAGAGCAGCACGAGAAAAACAAAAAGTTACCTACAAGGGGCAACCAAAAGGACTAAGCTTGGATTTCTCGAGAAAAACCATGCAGGTGAGAAGACAATAGGATGGCATGTATAAAACACTGAAGGAGAAAAATTTCCAACCAAGAATTATGTACCCAGCAAAACTGTCCCTCAAATATGATGGTGAAATTAGGACATTTCCAGATAAGCAGAAATTAAGGGAATTTGTTAAAACCA